TCCTGAATCAGATCAAAAGAAAAAGGGATCCCACCACATCAACCGATGGCGGATCGCCACAAAGCAGTCCAATGCGGAGGACATTGATGTCACGTCCAACGACTAGCGAGAGACGGGAAGAGGCGGCCACGGGCGAGCAGGGCCCGGAAAGGACCGTGGGGGAAAGCGAGGACCCAGCGGAGACCCAGCTGCTCTCCCCTCCACCAGGGGCGCCCCCTTCTCGGGGAATCTGGGGGGAACCTAAGGACACTCTAGGAAATCATCGCTTCTCTCCTGGGATCCTGCCTGCTGCCCAGCTGCCCCCAGGCAGCCTGTGGAAGCCTGGGACATGCCCAGCCCAGCCGGTGTGGGGGGCCGGGCAGCCAGGGAGGAAGGGAGGTCCTCTGCCAGCTGCGTGAACAAATACATTCGTCCACCAAGCCCTCCGCCACACTCCCGTCCCCTCGCCTTTGTTGCACTTTGGTGGGATAATTTTTTAATCAACAGAAAAGAATGCATTTTTACTTTAATTTATTATTTTGTGTCTCTGCATTTGCTGGGGCTGTGTACATACTCTGATGTCATAGATAGCAAGCAGCTGTTGTGTGTGTTGCTGTGCCGTGAATAAAAATAACCTGGGTTGGAAGTGCAAGGCCTGATTGCAGATGGCTCCCCTGCAAAGAGGCTCCTTGACCGGACCTGGGGCCCCTCTCCTGGCCTTTGGCACCCTTCCGGACACCCCCCCCCCGAAGCTTTAGAGACGGAGGGCAGGGGAAAACTGCTGGATTCAGATATGGGGTGCCTTCTGGGGCAGGTGGGGGCAGCTTTCCTTTTGATTCAAGGGGGGGTTGGCTCCTGTCTCTTCCTCTTCCATGTCCAGGAACCCCCCTCCCCCCCCCCGGCCAGGTTCTGCAGGAAGAGGCATGCTGGGGGCCAGGTGGTGGAAGGGACAAGCCAAAGCCCTGGCAGTTGCCTTGTTCCCCAATTCCTGGTGTGCACACCAGACCCCCAAGTTTGGGTCACCAGAAATCCTTTAAGCAGGAGCTGCCCCCCTTCCGACAGCATCCATGGGTTGGGACTAGCGGGGTGCAGAGCCTCCCCTCTCAACAACCGGGCGGCCTTTGTCCCTTTAGGGAAGCCCCCACCCACCCAGGATCTGCTCCTTGAAGGGAGCTGGGGGGAGCAGCGCCACGTGAGGACCTTGAACGGGTCGGCTTCTTGATGGGCGGCCAGGAACTTCTGCAGTGGAGACCCGGCTCGCCTGGTCAAGGCGGTGGGTCGGTGCAGGATCTCCACGCTGGCGACCCCGCCAAGAGCCCCTGCTCCGCCCTGTCCAGCCTCACCCGTGGGGGACCAAGGAAGGACGAAACAGCCCTCCGTGCCCCCCCCCGTCCTGCCGGCTCTGCCAAGGGAGGAAGCGCCGGGACTTCGGCGGGAGCAGCGCGGACGTCTCTGCGGGCGCCTATCCGGGGCTCGGCCGATCAGTCGGCAGCTTTCGGCCGCTCGGCCGCTGCCTGCCCTGGAGATGCAGCCGGGAGGAGCGCCCGCCAAGGCTTCTTTGCCGGGACGGCTGAGCCCAACGCGGGTGGAAGAAGGGGTGCGACGCCGAAGGGGGGGGCTCCAGGGATAGATTCCCCTTCCAGGAGACCCCCACCCCGGATTAAAACGAAGGAAGAGGCGCCAGTCCCGAGACGGATCTGTGAGAGTAGGACAAGGGGAGGGCGAGGGTCGAAGAGGGTTACCCCTTGTGAGGCAGCGTCAACCCCCAGATGTGGACAGCGGAGACACGCAGAGGGCCCTTTCCTCCTACAGTCGTGGCAAAGCGCTTCCTCCTCCCCCCCTTCCTCGTGTTCGTGAGGACTGGGAGGGTCTCGCCCGCCCGAGAGGCTTTCTCAAATTCCACTTCTGTCCCCAGACTCAAGTTTTTTTAAAAAAATCTTCGGCTTGATTGGCTCAAGGTTATTTCTTTGCTCATGAGAGGGAGTTGAATTTCCCCCCTTCACACTTCTTGTAAAGTTGGTCATTCTGGGGGGGGGGGTGAGGGGGAGAAGGTCTGGCCATAAATGGAGGCGCCTCTGGGTCCCAGATGACATCGGGAAGAGCCTGGGCCTGTTGTCCCTGGGGAAGAGGGGGGGCAGGTGAGGGCTGCTACCTCACCTGGGGGCTGGCTGTGTCTTAGCTGGCTTCCTCTGAGGTGGGGGGCTGAGAGACGGGTGAGGGTCTCGTTGGGTGAGGTCTGAAGGGGGCCCAGATATGGCCTCTCCCCAAAGGGTTGGCCTGGAGTTCAAGGTGCCGGGCAACGATCATCCATGGTCCACGCTTTCTCTTTTGGGGCAAGGGCTGCAAAGCATCTGGAAGAATTAGAGCTGGGCCGTTTGCATTCAGGACGCCTTCAGGACCTGGGATGGGATCGTGCTGGCCACTCTCATCAATTATAGATTGGCCAAAGTTGGAAGGGACCTTGGAAGTCTTGGTCCAAGCCCCTGCTCAAGCAGGAGACCCTAGACCAGTGATGGCGAACCTTTGAGAGACCGAGTGCCCAAACTGCAACCCAGAACCCACTTATGTATCGTCGGGTGCCGGGTGGTCGTGGCCCATTGGCAGGTGTGGCCCATTGGGTGGGCGTGGCCCATTGGGTGGGTGTGGCCCATTGGGTGGGTGTGGCTGCAGTGGTAATGGCAGACTGGGTGGGACTAAAAAGTTCAATCAATCAATTCCAACTTTGCGAGATCTTTTTTTTTCTCCTGCAAAAAATTGACTGATTGAACCTTTCTTTTTTTTTTTTTTTTTTGCACACTGGCAAAGGCCTAAAGCGAAAAGGTTTTATCAAACCCAGCTGAAGGCCTAGGACTGGGGCGATGGCATGCGTGCCCACAAAGAGTGCCACCTCTGGCACCTGTGCCATAGGTTCGCCACCACTGCTCTATCCCATTCCAAACAAATGGCTGTCCAATCTTTTCTTGAAAACCTGCATTGATGGAGCATCCACAACTTCTGGAGGCAGGTTGTTCCACTGGTTAATTGTTCTCCTTGTCAGGAAGTTTCTCAAGCATGGTTCTCTCCTTGATTAGTTTCCATCCGCTACTTCTTGTCCTGCCTTCAGGTGCTTTGGAGAAGAGGTGGACCCCTTTTACCATTACTTGAATCAGGACTTATGTAAGGGACTGCGACCTTACCTGTCCAGGTGGTTCTCCTCATGGCCGAGAATACCCTACTTCTGGAACACCTGTGAGGGTTAGAACTGGAGCCACCGTTCTGTGGTGGTGCAAATTCCTCCTGAGTGGTTACTCGCCAAGGTTGGGGCACCTGAACATGCAGTGCTGGATGGCTTTAAGTTTTCCTCTGCCGCCTTATTCAACCTCTGTAGGAAACCACTAGGAGACCTTTGTTGACTTTTGAGCTACAGTAACATCAAGTAGATCTTACCTAGCTGTACATCTCTGCCCCCAATGTAACGGAAGCGGTGAGCATCCAGGCGGAAAAGATGGAGGCTAATAGAGAAGGCAGGCAGGTGGGCTTTCACAATGCAGACCCCCTCCCTCAAGGGCTGAGCAACTGCCCGGCTGCTGATTCTGCTCTCCCGGAGGGAGTGGGTCCAGAGCAGTGTGTTTTATAAACGAGGTAGGATCCGGCAGCTACCCAAGGCACACAGGAGCCCCACTTCCTGCCAGGGACAGCAGGAGGGGACTCTAAAGTGGGCACCCCTTCTTGAATTCAGCCCCCCCCCCGGGAAGAAGCCATCTCCGCAGTTTAGGGTGAGCCTGCTGGCCTTTGCCCTTCAGGAGGCCTGCAAAGACGCGGCTGCTTTTGCAAGATTTGGGGATCCCGCACCTTGCCTGCTGACTTCTTGTTATTATTGCACTGAAATTGTGTGCAGAAAAGGAATTTCTGCATTTCTCGTTTTTTTCTATGAGGTGGATTGGCGCTATGCATTGGTTGTGAGCTGCTTACGTTTGCTTGATAGAAGCAGCAGAAAAGCCCTTTAACTCAGAGGCCCCCAACCTTTTGGGCACCAGGGACCGGTGCTGTGGAGGGAGGTTTTTCCACGGACCGGAGGGTGTGTGGTTTTGTGTGCTGCCTGCATCCTGCGGACGGGGCTTTGCTTGTTTGTGCGGACCGGTTGCTGGCATGCCTCAGCCCTGTACCGGTCCACGGATGGGGGGGGGGGGTTTGGGGACCCCTGCTTTAATTCACTTAATAAATAAATCCTGACCTGCTACTTCAGCAAAATCTTCCACTGTGACCACAGGTTGGCATTTAGAACAGCTCAAGCTTTTTCCTCAAATGGGCGCCAGGTTAGAGAAGGGGGCAAATGAGGTTCTCAGCTGGGTGTTGCTCCCCCTGCGGAACTGGAGTGGCCTTGGGGCGTGGCTGGATCACCCCCTGGTAGAGAAGACAGAGGGGTCAGTTGACTTTGGAGGCCAAGGCAGGGAGAAGCAGGAAAAAGATCCTGAAGAAGGTTGCCACCAGAAGGACCGTCTCAGAAGGACCATCTCAAGAAGACTTAGCCGCCCTGGTGGCCTTTTTCCGCCTATTCTTAGCCAAGGCGATTGCAGGAGTCCCTCTGCCCCCCCCCCTCAGCACAGCGGTGTCCTTCTGCCCTGCTGGTGGTGAGCTTCCCAGGAAGAGCTGGCAGGACGGACGGGCAGGACTAGATCAGGTGCACCTGGGGCTGATGAAGGAGATCTGAGATGCTTTCTGAGCTTGGTGGTTTTCTTGCAGACGGTTCATGACCCAACTAGGTAATATCATCAATGCTAGGAGGGGGGGTTGTGGAGAGGAGGAGGAGAAGGAGGACGCCACCGACTATGGGGTTCTTGGTGCTCTCTGCGCTTGGCTGTTTTTTTGCAGAGGTTTCATGGCCCAACCTACAACTATTCTACGTTCTCCTTTATTGGCAGGGGAGACCTTCCGAACACCGTAGGCAGCGCCCTCGAGATAGCGAGGTGGGCAGCGTGTATACGTTTAATAAATAAATAAAACAAGAGAGAGATCGCCTGTAAAATACCGAGGCAGAGATGAGCAGTTTGAGGTGTGCTTTTATTCTAGAGTTTAGAAGTGTTACAGAAAGTGTTATGATGATCAATAAATCTACCGAGGAAGTTACAAAAGACGCTCCTGAGCACTTCGCAATTGGCTCACCCGGACGGAGGCACCTGTGCTCAGAAAGTGAGGTCGTTGGAAGACAAAGGATGGCGACCGCCCCCGACCGACGGTTTTGGGGCTCAAGAGAGCCGTAAGGTGCGTTGAGATCAGTGCGGATGCCGGGAGGCGCAGGGCAGACGCGGTTGCTGCAACCGGTTGTGTTTCCCTACCTTCGGCGGCTCTGCTGCTGCCCACCCGGTGGGCTTTCACAATGCAGACCCCCTCCCTCAAGGGCTGAGCAACTGCCCGGCTGCTTAAAAGCCTAGTCCCCTCCCCGCCCCAGCAGTAAATGCATTTGTGTGACCCCACAGAAATTAGGCTAACGGTTTCACCGGGGTTAGAGTTGCAAGACACGAAAATAACGCTAATTACATTTTAATTCCTGTATTCCAGTTCTTTGCGCAAGCAGAACTGCCCACAGCCCCTGTCCAGGCTAAGAGGCAACGCAGTCTTAAGTAAGTGTTTACCCCCTCCTCCCCCCTCAGCGCACAGAACTCCCTGGAGATCGAGACCCACGGAGGACCCCTGACTTAAGCCGGTTAAGACGAGACCACTCCCCACAGGAGGGAGGCGCGTAGGAGCTATCCGGGTGGGAGATGAAGGCCAACGGGCTGCACGGCGTGGCCCTTCCTGGCCCCACAACTCCTGCATTGGGGCTCCCTCCAGCTGCTCTGTGGGCCCAGCCTCTTTGCCAGGGGACTGGCTGGCTGTGGAGCATGGGCCACCCAGGTGCCATTGGCCAGGAGGCCGAGGCCGGGTGCTGCAGCTCCGAGGGAGGGGGACACGGTGAGGACCCTCTCCCCTCCCAAGGAAGGCCGGGAGTGGGTTGCGCATCCCCCGGCCCCGCTTCTCCCCGCAGGGCCAAAAGCCGGTTCCTGCAAGCGGGGTCTCGGGGGCTCTTGGAGCCCCGCGACCCTCGCCGGCCCCTCCCTCATCTGCCGCGGGTGGGGGCGCGCTTGGCTCCCTCTTTCCGCTTCACTGCAGCCCTCATTATTCCTTAATTAACATACCCAACAAATCAATTAACTACTCCGTTCCTAATTAAAAGCTACAAGAGACGATCATCTCATTATTATTAGCTGCTGAGCTGAGCATCAGCCCGCCCGCCTCTCCGCCGCCCCCCAATTACGGGAAGCCAGGAACGCGAAGGGCGTCGCGGCTCCTTTTGTGCTCTCGGAGCGGCGGCGGCGGCATTAATGAGCCGCCGGGCCGGCGCGTTGCGAGGGCGGCACTTGGGCCCCGCGCCCGGCTCTTCTCGGGGATGGCGCGGGACGGGAGCCCCCCGCCAGCCCTGGAGCATTGGCCGGGCAGAGCCCAGACCCGACCAGGCGCCCTCCGGGGCCCTTCCCGGGAAAAGGGGGGCTTCGAAGTGAGAGAAGGTTCGGTTGGGCTGCGCTAAAAACATCCCTGGAATCCTTGGGGGGGGGGAGGGAGGGGTGTTAAAACAATCCGCTGGGATCAAGGTGAAGCCCCTCCCGCTGGGAGAGCGAAAGCCCCCGACGGGCTTGGATTTCACGACCAAAAGAGGTCCCTGGGCGGAGGGCGGGAGGCTGCACGCACATACACAACACACACACACAACACACACACACACCGACCCGGCCCCGGGCACTGGAGAGAGGCATTTCCTGCCACATTCCCAGCTGGGAGATGGGAGCTGCTGAGTTTGAGCGCCAGGGGAGGGGCTCTCGGAGGGGGGGGGGCTCTCTTGCTCCCTGCGGGGTCTCGGAGCAGCTGCCCTTTGGGGCACCTTCCCCACTGACAGGTCTGATTAGGCGAGGACCAGCAGGGCTCCCCGTAACTCTGAAGAGCCCTGGCTGAGCCCCCCCGCCCCACATCCCTGGGAAAGACAAGACCCAAATGCACCCAGCCCCAGACTGCGGGGGTCCAAAGAGGGGCTGGGGAGGGCTGGGAGGCTGTCAGGATGGTGCCAGGCCTATTGGTCCTGCCTCCCCCAGCAAGGCCAGCTCTGGCTGGAGGCGCCATCTCAGCCCCCTCAAGGCACAAGGGCTGCGTTCACATGTTCGGGGTTGCCCTGAAATTGAATCTCATAATACCTGAGTTTTCACACCACCCAAAACAAGAGCAAGGACAAAGAAGGGAGATTAAGACTAATGAATGCTGCAGAAAGTCACTCAGCCGCTGACTCCGCCAAGGACCTGATTAAGGATGCCGTGTGAGCTGTGGCACTTCCTGTGGCACTCACTCTGTTGTGAAAGCCTTTCTTTCTCTTTCTTTTTCTTTCTTTCTTTCTTTCTTTCTTTCTTTCTTTCTTTCTTTCTTTCTTTTTCTTTCTTTCTCTCTCTCTCTCTCTCTCTCTCTTTCCTAATCAACTAACCAACAGTCTTCGGCACTTAGCCTCAGACACCAAAGCTCAGCCCCCCCCCCAGGAAGGGGTCAATCAGAGAAAGGCCCTCCACAAAGGGCCCCTGGGCTGCAATCAGTCCTGCCTCTTTAGCACCTGCAGCAGCCACAATGCCCAGAGTGGGGGGGCACAGCCCTGGAGCCCTTCAGGGGGAGCCAGAACAAGGATTTCCACCCTTCAGGGGTGGGGTGAACAGGCCACCTATTTTCAGTGGGGTAGAACCAGCCTCTTTCAGCCCAACCTCTAAGGCTCTAGGGCTGTGATTGCTGCTGCCCCAGGTGTGGCTGCCTCTCCAGCCTGTCCCCACCCCGAGACCCTCCCAGTGGGGGGGGGAAGGCAGTGGGAAGAGCTCTGCCCTGGCCTCACTCCCACGGCTGGCCCCATAAAGAGGCCCTCTGCTCTCGGAAGAGCCCGTGGAAAGGGCCACTGCAGGGAGGGTCTCTCTCCACCGTGAGAGTCTCAAGCCAAAGAATCTGCCCCCCCAGCACAGAAAGCTGCAGAAGACGGCTGTGCACAGGGGGAAGGGAGTGGGGGCTGGCTGGGGCCAGAGGTTGTGGGGGAGGAGCAAGGAAAGAGGGCCATGCAGACCCCCCTGGGAAGGGCTTGGGACCATAGTGACCCTCACAGCTCCGGCCAGATTCTGGGCAAGCCAAGCTGGACGGGGTCCTCCTCGAAGCCCCCCAGCCCAGGGACTGAAATGCCTCCTGCCCAGAGTTGCAGCTCAGACCCCCATGTTCTGCAGCTGTTTCGGCTGCTCCCCCCCAAATTGTCTGGGACTGCAGCTCCCAGTGTGACTGTGGGAGCCTGGGGACTCTGAAAGCTGCATCTCCACACATCTGGTGGGGGGTGCCAGACTGGCCTGGAGCTCAGCAGAGCCAGAGGAAGCCAGACTTTCCACCAGCCCCCCCCCAGTTCCTGATTCTTCCCCCCCCCCGTCTCTTTGTGCTGTTACTGTCGCTAATTGAGAACTTTAAATATTAATCTTTTCGACCAACGTGAGATACCGGGTCTCGGAAAGTGCTAATTTACACTCCGTTCTTGACGGAGGGAAGATGTTACAAGCCGCAGCTTTGTCGTCTCCTCCTTCCTATTGTATTCCGCCCCCTCCCCACCCACCCCCTCCTCCCTTCACGCCTCTCGGTGCTGCTGCTGCTGCTGTTGCGCAGTCTTGGGTGCCGCCGCCGAGAGCTGGGCTTGCTTCCACTTACAGCCCTTTGTTGTAGGTGACGGTCTGGCTGGTGGTGGCCTGGGCGATCTCTGGCTCCAAGCGGGCAGTCTGGATCTGCAGAGAACAAGGCATGAAACGGGGTTGGAAGAGGAGCCGGCGGGCCCAGGGATGGGGGCTGCAGGGGCTGCAGAGAGGAGGAGAAGCCTGGCCCTGTGGAGGGTGCCACCCCAGCCCACTGGAATCTCCTCTGCTCACACAGCCCAGTTCTCCCATCGCACCGTCCCTCCCCCTCTCAGCAGCCCACGGACTCCATGCCAAGCTGCAGCTCTGGGCACCTTTCCCAGCAATACCTGGAGATACCAGGAAGGAACAGGTAGAAGGTGCAGGGTTACAAATAATCAGGTAGTTTAATAATAATAATAATAATAATAATAATAATAATAATAATAATAATAAACAATTGTCGATAAGAAAGACAAAAAAGTCTGGATAGTGGATGTGGCAGTGCCTGGAGACAGCAGAATAGACGAGAAAGAACTGGAGAAGATCACAAGATACAAAGACCTACAAATAGAAATAGAAAGACTGTGGCAAAAGCAAGCAAGGGTAGTACCAATAGTCATAGGCTCCTTGGGTGCAATCCCAAAACAACTGGAGCACCACTGGAACACCATCATCACCACTGACAAATTTGCTATTAGTCAATTGCAAAAGGCGGCCTTACTAGGAACTGCTTCCACCCTGCGACGATACCTGAAATACCATCAAACATCCACATCTGCCTATCCCAGGTCCTGGGTAAGGACTCGATAGGTAAACAAAATGCCAAATCCAGTCTGAACATCTGGCTGACTGTGCGATGATCCATAATAATAATAATAATAATAGTTGGAAGGGACCTTGGAGGTCATCTAGTCCAACCCCCTGCTCAGGCAGGAACCCTACACCATTTTGGACAAATGACTGTCCAGTCTCTTCTTAGAAACTTCCAGTGTTGGAGGCAGGTGGTTCCATTGGTTAATTGTTCTAACTGTCAGGAAGTTGATTGGCCCATTAGCCACAGCTCAGCCGGGAGCTGTCAGGAGTGGCCAGAGGGGGGACATTCAATGGAGACGGACCCTTTCCCAAATGAGGAAGCAGGGTTGAGGCCAGAATGCCTGAGCAAACGCAGCTATCCAGACGCAGCAACTTGGGGAGGCCAAGGACAGCTAGAAGGTCCCCCCTCCAGCCACTTCCCTCACGTGGAAGGCAAAGGAGACGTTTGTGGCCAGGTCAGGCCTGCCAAATGTGGACAGGGTCTCCATCCCTCTCTTCACTGAGACTCAGCCCTCGACGCCTGATGGCCGGGACCCATTTCACCCGAGACAAGCAGAACTGCCCACCAGAGCATCTGGGTCACAGCAATGCTGGGTCCTTGGCAAGTGAGGCCTGCTGTGGGCAACCGACGGCAAGTCTCTTGGGCTGGCCTTAACCAGGAGTCTCCTAAGGTGGCCACTTTAAGACATGCGGACTTCAACTCCCAGAATTCCCCAGCCAACAATGCTGGGAGTTGTAGTCCACAAGTCTTAGAGTGGCCACGTCTGGACACCTCTGGCCTTGACCGTTCTCAGAGGAGCCTGAAGAAGCTTCTGGAGCCCGAGAGCAGCACCTCCTCCAAGGAGAAGCTGGGCCTCCCCTGAGGTGCTCGGAGCAGCCGAGGCAACGAGGCGTCTTTTGATGCAAGGCCTCCCCACTGCAGGCGAGTAACCCGAGAAGGGGCTTTGTCTTCACTGTCAAAGCCAGATTCCTCTTTCGAGCAGGTGTTCCTCGTGAGAAGGACAGGTGGCTTTAGAAGGCTCAGCGAAGCCTGTTTGGCCCACTGCTTGAAAGCTCAGGGGGTCTCCGTCGTTCTACTCGCTTCTGCTAGGCCCTGGGCAGGTGGGAGGTTTTGTTACCTGCTGGGCATCTGCGTCGTCGTGGGACGCTTCGGGGCCTGGAGGGCAGAAAGGCGGCCAGCAGCCAGTCCCAGCCCCTCCTGCTGGGCTAGGTGCAGGGGGCTTCTGCTCTGCAGTGCCTTGGCTCTGGAGCCCCTTCCCCAGCAAGCCGGGGCTGAGAGGCATGGTGTGTGCAGACATGCTCCTGGAGCACAGCTACCAATCATCCCCGGCCAGCATAAGCGGAGGCCGAGGAACCCACCCATTTACGCTACTCTAACTAGCAACAGCAAAAGCACTTAGACTTATCTACCACTCCCTAAGGGCTTAACGGCTCTCTGCGAGTGGATATACATTTTAATTCACTTCCCCCCCCCCCCGCAAAGTTACACCAGTTGTACACCAGTGAGGTTAGTGGAGTCTGTTAATACACAAGCAGAGTTCTGCAGGAGCCCCCGTGGGTTTTCGCTGTGGGGCAATCCCTGGGCTTGAGGGCCAAAGCCTGCCCCATCGGTAGCCACACCTACCCGGTCTTCCCAGGCAAGAGGGATTGCCACGTTCAGCACCCCCCTTCCCCCCCCCCCAACCTCGGCGGCTGCCTTTGGCTGACTGTCTCTTGGAGGGACAGGTGGGAATCAGAGGAAGTGGGAAGAATCATCTGGAAGAATCGCAACAGCACAGCTGTGATGCCGAGCCCAGAGGAAATGCAGGCACAAGCCAGCATTCGGAGTTTGGAGGCTGAAAGCAAAGGAGGGCGGGGGGGGGGGAATAGGGAGGTCCCTCTGGTGCTTCGACTGAGGGTGAGGCGCGCCCAGGATGAGGACCACCTCCCTGCAGTCTATAAGCCACGATGGGGCCCCAAAGGATCTGCTGCCGTGTCCAGCCAGGGCTGTCCCCTCTCCCTCTGGGCTTGTTTCTTTGGGGATCCTGGGAGATACGGGGGGACCACCTCTTCTCCCAGAATGGAGGGCCCCATCACCCCCCTCTAAACAAGACTGGCCCTTTCACCCTTACAGACCCCACACCAGGCAGAAACCTGCCCTTCCTTCTCACATGCATGTGTGTTCTCGGCGTCACAACATCCCACGCTGGACGCTCCTCGCAAGCCACCTCAATGCTGCCCCTAAGCAAAGTGAAGCGGGCCCTGCCCCTCTGCTCCCCATGCCAAGGGATGGGGGGCGTTGCTTCCCTCGGCATGTCCTTCTCTCGCTTCAAAGACCCCCCCCCCAGGCATCCCCAAATGCCCACTCCTCCATCATGTGCAACTCACGTGCCCCATTTTAGTCGGCTCCAAGATCCCAGGTGGAGGACTTTTAAAGGGCGAAATAGGTTTGCAAGACTTAAGGAAGCCGGATACCTCTTTTAATCCCCCCCCCAGACCCTTTTGGCTTTTCTAAGACTCTGAAGACAGGGCGGCCCCCCCAGGGTTGAGGGAACCCATCTCTGGGGGGGGTCCAAGTGGTGCCCTCCCCTGCCAGTCAGTTCCGTTGGCTTTGGATAGGGGTTGCTTTTATGATTCTTGCAAGATGGTTTGATTTGTGAGTTGAATGACCATGTAAGTAAAAGAAGTAAATAAAATAAATACTGCCCCCCCCAGTACTGAACCCTTGTTTTGGTCTGCCAAAGGGGTGCAGGGCCTGAAGACCACCCTCTCTGCACCCTGAAAGGGGCAGAAGGACCCTGGTCTCTCCTTCGGAGGCTCACCCGTGCAAAGCAGGACACTCGCTCTGCTCCTTCAAAATTATTATTTTGTAACTTTAAAATGGTACCGATGCGTGGCAGTGCCAAGGCTGACACAACAATGCTAGGAACCTACATGGAAAACCTAAAAGCTTTTGAAAATGTTTAACCTAGTTAGACAAATTAGCAAAAATTTGTGCAAAACAATTTAGGTATTTAAAATATTCAATGTTTTTAAAAACTGAAAAACTGTTCTTAGCTTTCAGCTGCAGAAACCCAACAAAATATAACATCCAAGAAATCTTAACATGAGGTGCAACATAACCCTTCACCAAAGCTGTTAAACAGTTCCTGGTGCATCCTGGGAAATAGCACTTCATTTATTCAAATGCACATATGTCAGGTTTTTGCACCATATGTCATTCCAAGCTATTTACAGTAATAATTAAATCTTAATCAACGTTTAACCTCTGTAAAATGTTTGAAGGGATCTAATCACCCTTCAGTCTGCACTAATGAAGCAGAAATATATAAACATAAAAAGAAAATGATATACACCAGAAAAAAGAAGTAATTGCAAAATTGTATTTCTTTTAAATATCATCAGCAAGTTATGTAAAGGAAGCCGAGGGGGTATTTTAAGGGAAGACATCTTGGGTGTCAGAGGTGTGAGTAGCTAATTTTGTACTGCTATCCATAGCAGATGTAGCATATTTTCTCTTACAGCCATTATTAGCAACTTCACCATTCCTTTTCTTATTTAAACACAAAGCAGAACGCGGAAAGGGGGACGCGGAGTGCTCCTGCGAGGGAAGGGGGGGGACCGACTGCCCGGCTGACGTGGAGGAGATCCACTGTGCCAGCTGCTGGAAAGTGTGGGCCCACCAAGCCCAGAGTCCTCTTGGCAAAGCCATGGAGGCCACCTCTAGCTGGCACCATCTTGCCCTGCTCCCTTCCAAGGGGCCAGAGAGGCTGAGATGGGCAGCACCGATGGGATGTTGGCTCGTACCACAGACAGGCAGAGAGAGGTCCGCCTACAGCCTCTGCCCACAGGGCAGCCCACCCCTCTCTGGGTCACCAAAGCCCCTGCTGAAGGGGTCTTCACGTGAGGAAGATTGGCAGGTCCTGTACTCCGAAAATGGGCAGAAGAGACTTCGGCTTCCTTTCATGACTCCTGGGCCAGCCGGTCATTTCCAAGCATCCTCTCTGTGTAGGATGCTCTCCAGGTCTTCCTCCTTCTCCCGCTGTGAATCCCTTCCAGTTTCGCTACATCCTTCCTAAAAGGGGGTGCTCCGGGTTGAAGCCCCACAACCCTGGAGGTGGGGTATAACCGAAGCAGAACAATAGAGGAGCCCAATGCGAAGTTGCCTTTCCTATTCTCACCACAAAACCTGCTGACTTACGCTCAGTTTATAATCAGCTCAGTGTTTCACTTCTGCCTCATAAGTTGAAAACCTCTGCACAGCAGGTGGCCCCTAGTTTGAAGCCAGATGCTTTGATCTCTCGAATTTTCCTGAATTC